ATATAAGCATTCATTAATCCCTTTCATTTCTAGAATCTCGCAAGCACTTCTTAAACTATCAATCATTTTCTAATATTAATAAAATTATCTATGTTTGTAATCTTTTAGTCTCTCCACTACATGAAAAAAGTCATCCATTTCCGCGTCTTTTTCCGACGAAAATGAGCTTTTCCGCGTTTTGTAATTTAACGCGCTTTCCGGCGTTTAAATACTCGCCGGAAAATAACGCGTAGGAAAAAAATCCGCGGTTTTTCCCGGCCAATTTATTCGCGCTTGCGTGGTCTTAAACCCCGTGTCATTTTAATTAAAAAAAAAAAAAAAACCCCCGCCGCTCCGTTGACTCCCCCACCCCGCTCCGGCGAGCACCGCACACCCACGGCGCTGCGCCCGCTCCCGCGGCAGCTCCCCCCACCCCCCCGCTCCGGCGCTCCCGCGGAGCTCCCCCGCGCTCCGTCGCTCCCGCGGCAAGCTCCCGCGCGTATTGCGTGCGGTGGGATTCGAACGGCGGGCGTTCGGGAGGATATTCTAGCGACTGACCAAATTTCTGAAGATGTAATTGTGTTAATTTTTTTAATTGTTTTTATTTAAACTATATTTGACCGAAAATCAATTTTTTTTAATTACACAAAAAATGAAACTAATTAATTTAAAACTAAAAATAATATTTAATACAAAATAAAAATTCAACTAACTAATTAATTTTAAAATAAAAATTAATTAAATGGATAATAATCATTTTTATTAAATAATTTAAATAGTTAAAATTTTTATAATTTTAAATAAATTTTTAAAATTTTGCCGGAAAATTGAAAGTGCCGCCGTTAAACCCGTCAAAAAATTTCTTGGGAAAGAAACCACCATAAAATTTTATCGGAAAAGTTGTCTCTATCTTTTCCATCGAAAAACCGCCAGAAAATTAATCGTTGAAAAGCCGCTGAAAATGGGTGATTTTCCTATAGTGTCCATCACCTGCTGACTACAGCCTTTCCAAATTATATCACTCACTTGAAAATTGTCCTTCCGACCTCCATCGCCCGTCGACTGCGATCTTTTCAATTGCCATCACCTGAATACAGTCTTTCTAACGTCAATCGCCCGCCGACTATAGCTATGCCGACCAAGCTAACATATCAATATTGATTCTTCCAATTTCCACCATTTAATGCATTATATATGATATATATTTGCTACATTAAGTCAAGGCCTTCCCTTTAATGAAGGGCCTCATTTATAATCAACTATAAATACAAGTGGATTCATTTAAACTGGGCTAGGCCCAGTAGTTTTCCCCTTTTTAGGATTTGCCACATAAAAATTTTGGCATCTCTTATAAATATTGCACCCTCTCTT